ACAGGGGAGGTACCCTGATTAGCACTTTCTTTGAAATACACAACTCCTACATGAGATAAGCAGAGTGGGACTGCCTACTCCACAATGTAATAGTTGTTTAATGACTAAGAAACTACTGGACATTTACAGTTCTCCTTTCTTTTCCTACCCATTATCGGCTGATTCATTTCTTTCAAAAAACATTTATGGCACATCCATGCCAGATAATACCTAATGCAGGATTAGGGATGTAAATAATTGGGTAAGATCCTGTTCTCAAGTATTCTTGGTCCAAGAGATAAAAGGACATGTAGAAATCGAGACCTACAACATAAGGCATGAAATGCTCAGGGTAACCAAAGAGAACAGATAAAGTGTATGCGAGCTTAAAGGAGAGAAGTCATTGTTGGGTGGGAGCAGAATAGCGATCAGGGGAGGTTTCCTGTAGGAGGCAGCATTAATTAGAACTGGTTTGTCAGGACATACTTTTGAGTAGCTATTGCGTGCCATGCCCTAGATTTGATAGATAGGAAGGTAAGTTTTGGATGTGTCAAGAAAAGATAAAAATCACTCAGTTGTTTATTCTGTCAACAAATATTTACTGTGTAGTGGCACTGGGAATACAATCATCGACATGATATAGTCCCCTGAAGGAACTTATAATAAAGACACAGAAGAAAAAGATGACTGACTGATAGGTGGTATAAAGAAAATGAAGAGAATGCCAAGATGGGGTGGGATGAGCCAGTCTTACCTAGAGTGATCAGTCAAGGCCCTCTGAAGAAAGAATGTTTAAGCTGAAACCTAAAGGATAAGAAGGAGCCAGCCATGGGGAAAGTGAGAGAAAAGGGAACAGTGTCTCCAAAGGTCTTTGGTGTGTTTGAAGCATTTCAAGAAGACAGGTGTGCCTGGCTAGTGTGGCGCAGTGGTTGAGCATCAACCTATAAACCAGGAGATCCTGGTTCAATTCCCAGCCAGGGCCATGCCCGGATTGCGGCAGCTCGATCCCCAACAGGAGGCGTGCAGGAGGTAGCCAATCAATGATTCTCTCTCATCATGATGTTTCTATCTCTTCCTCTCCCTTCATCTCTGAAATCAATTTAAAAAGATAAGAAGAAGAAGAAGAAGAAGAAGACGACGACGACAGGTGTGACTGGAACACATCAAGCTGGAGTAAGAGTGACAGATGAGGTTGGAGGGGCAGCCAGGAACCAGGCTGTGCAAGGCCTTGGGAAGGTCAAATTTTACATCGAAGTAAGATAGAAAGCCACTGAGGGGTCTGCAAATGGATGGTTGGGGGAGCAGGCAGTGAAACCAGCTAGGAGGCCTTTGCTGTGGGGAAGTAGCCACAAGCTCATTCAAAGGTAAAGAGACACAAGAGCAGTGTCAGAGAGAGGCAAAGGGTATTCATATGGCTGAGTGCAAGGCGTCGATGTGGTGGGAGGCACTGAAGACCATTTGAGCCACTTTGTAAGCCCTGCTAAGTGGGAAGCTAGGTCCAGCTTCTAGGTAGAGAAGAAACATGAGAGTTAGGTTTTATAAAAAGCCTTTTGGGAACCGGAACCAGGATGGCGGCATAGGTTAACGCCGGAGTTTGCTGCCTCCAACAACCACTTCAAAAGTGAAACTAAAAGACGGAACGGACATCACCCAGACCCACAGGAACGCTGGCTGAGTGGAAGTCCTACAACTAGGAGGAAAGAGTAACGCATACGGACACTCAGAGGAGGCGCAGTGCTGAAGTCAAACACTG